ACCAGAGGCCACATGGCAAGTTGCAGCCTCTGGAGATCCCCATGTGGAAATGGGAGTAGGTCATGATGGATTTTATCACCAAGTTGCCGAGGACGGCGAAGGGATATGATGTTATATGGGTCGTCGTGGATCGACTGACCAAGAGTGCCCATTTTCTGCCCATCCGGGAGAGCTCATCGGCCGAGAAGCTGGCCGACGTGTATATCTGCGAGATCGTTGCTCGCCATGGAGTTTCGGTTTCTATCGTTTCAGACCGTGATGTTCGGTTCACCTCCCATTTCTGGCAGAAGTTCCATGAGGAATTGGGTACGCAGCTGCATTTCAGCACAACATATCATTCGCAGACATACAGTCAGAGTGAGCGGAATATACAGACCCTCGAGAATATGATGAGAGAACGCATTATTGATTTTGGTGGGAGCTGGGACTCCTACCTACCCCTTGCAGAGTTTTCCTACAACAACAGCTATCACTCCAGCATTGGTGCTCCACCTTATGAGTTGTTGTATGGACAGAGATGCCACACCCCAATCTGTTGGGGCGAGGTTGGTCACAGGGTGATGGGTCAGACCGAGGTAGTCCTGCAGACTACCGAGAGGATTCAACAAATCAGACAACGGTTTGCAGACCGCACAGAGTCGGCAGAAGAGTTACGCCGACATATGCCGATCTGAGTTGGAATTTCAGGTCGGTGGCATGGTACTCCTGAAGGTCTCACCCTAGAAGGGTGTGATTCGCTTCAGCAAGAGGGGGAAATTGGGTCCCCGATACATCGGGCCATTCAGTATCATTGCCAGGGTTGGCAAAGTGGCGTATAGGCTAGATCTCCCAGAGGAGCTTAGTCAGATCCACAACACTTTCCATGTGTCACAGTTACGAAAGTGCATATTAGATGAGGAGGCAGTGGTGTCATTGGAGGATATACAGGACGACGAGCGCTTGAATTACATGGAGAGGCCAGTGGCCATTCTGGAGAGGAAAGTGAAGGTTCTATGGAACAAGTAAGTACCTTTGGTAAAGGTACAATGGCAGCATCGGAGGGGATCCGAGTGGACTTGGGAGCCGGAGGCAGAGATGCGGGAGCACTACCCCGAGTTATTCACCGCAGCAGACTTAGAGGACAAAGTCTAGTTCAAGTGGGGGGAGAATTGTAACATCCCGACTCCCAGATATAATTTTCGAAAGTTTATGTTCATTTTGTTGAGGGAAATCGACGAGTTGGAGGCCCCAACTCGTCGTGTCAAACCTAGTCAGCCCCCGTGATTTATGATTCCTACTCGACGAGTCGGAGGACCCCGACTCGATGAGTAGAGGATGTGCATGAAAACCCTATTTTTTAGGATTTGCACCCTATTTAAAGAACCTTAAGTCCTTTCCTCCAGCCCCTTACCACCTTTTGACGGCCAGAAGAAACCCTAATCAGTCTAAACCTTGTTCTTGAGTGTTTGAGAGGCTAAAGTGTGTTTTTGGTGCTTTTGATTGAAGAAGCTTGGAGTTTTAGAAGCTTGGAACGAGAAGAAGAGGGTAGAAACAATATCTACATTGTCTTGGCTTGCATTTTAAGGTAAAAAGCCTCTACCTTGGCCTTCTATTTGTTAGATCTCTTTCTTAGTGAGAATATGGGCATTTTGGTGCAAAAATGGAGTTACTTTCAGATTTGAACTTGTCACAAGGGCATAGTTTCAGATCTGGACTCCTCTAGGCCCTTATGGACATAATACCTCAAGCTTTATGAAGCTTTGGCTCTCCCTCATGTCCAAAACCTTCTTCTATGGCTAGTTATGAGTTTTTTAGCTTCATGGAGCTTTGCATGCACGTAAAGTTAGCAACTTTATGTGATAATCACACCCTAGGAGCCTAGATCTACAGTTTGGAGATTTTGTTTCACGTAAAAGCATATGTATGAGAAATGGACTGAAGGGACTCGACGAGTTGCATGGTCAACTCGACGAATTAGATGAAGATTGGCCGTTTTTGGTTCTGCATGGACTCAACGAGTCGGTGAGATGACTCGACGAGTTAGTTAGGGTTTTCCCAACATTTTGACACCACATGGACTCGACGAGTTGTCTGGAAACTCGGCGCGTCGACTAGGGTTTTCACGACTTCTTGAGTTCTGAAGGAACTCGACGAGTCAGTTAGCTACACTCGACAAGTTGGGTCAACATGGACTGTTGACCTTGACCGTTGACTTTGAATTTGACCAAGGGTTGACCAGTTTGACTTCTAGGGGTATTTTAGTAATTTGGAAATTTATGGAAGTGGATTATTGGTGGATGTAGGTGTTTGAGTTTGGATTCGTACTTGGGAAGTTTGACACTTATCATACTGAGCTACTTGTGAGGTGAGTTTTCCTCACTATACTCAAGGGTCTAAGGCACCAAGGTCGGCCCTTTTTGGATTGTTATCCTGATATGTTGTATGCTCGAGTATCGTGTGATATGTTAGATCGGTATCCTGGTAGATAGGATGTTATTGTGCTGTTATGATCCGTGAGATCAATATCCTGGTAGATAGGATGATATTATGCTATTATGATCTGTTAGATCGGTTTGTCTGTCTATAGACTGTTATGTGATTATCTGATATATGTGCACATGTTTGATTGCTGGTTGAGGTTTATCTACTTTGTACGAGAGCCAACAAACCTGGGCATTCCAACCCGATGGTTGTGGGCCATGAGTATTCCATCACGGGGATGATTGGACTCGTAGTATGTGGGCATTCCAACCCGATGGTTGTGGGTCGAGGGTATACCATCCCGAGGATGACTGGACCCATAGTATGTTGGCATTCCAACCCGATGGTTGAGGGCCTGGGGCATTCCAACCCGGTGGTTGATTGGGCCCATAATATGCTGTTATTATATGCGTGTTACTTGTTGTGCGGGTATTTTGGGGGAACTCACTAAGCGACGAGCTTACAGTTTTGGATTTTGTTTCATGTACTTCAGAGGATCGCGAGAAGGCGAAGGCGTGATTGTGCACCTCCTCATATTTTTATGATCTTGATTTATGGGATACTCTGATGTCTAAACTATTTTGAAAACACTTTGTAATAACTTAATGGGTTTGAATGGTTGAAAAAGTTTTAAATTGGCTTGATTTTTATGGGTGTTACAAAGAGTGAAAGAAAAATGAAGAGTATAGGGTTGTGTAAAATGATTAAATGTTTTGGGAAGATAATTTTTAAATGAGGAGAGAGGATGGCCGAAATTTTGAAGGGGAGAGGGGCTCCCTCTCTCTCTTCCAATTTTATAAATTTCAAATCTTTTATAAAAATACCAAATTTTTATAATACATGCACCTTAATATAGTTTTACTCATAAAATCTTGATTTTTGGCTTAGAAAATGAGGTTAAATATTAATGACTTTAATTTTATTTCTCATTGATTATATTTTACTAAATTTAATTATTTTAAATTGATATTATAAAGTTCATACCAAATTTTATGGATTTTTAGGTGTTAAAGTTCATAAATTTGAGTTTTTAGGGTTTTTAGGGTCTTGAGATTTAATAAATCTTTGGATATCAAAATAAATTGAATCTTTGAGACTTCGAATTATTTTTGGGTTTCAAAACTCTTATTCAAGTAAGAAATAATGTTTGTAATTTACTTTTATCGGTTTATTGACATTTCTATGTAGTGATTCCGAGATTCAAGCGAAATTGAAAATTTAAGTATACTAGTCATAGTTTCAACTTTGACTTAAGTTCCTATGAGACTTGGATCTAATTTCTACTTCTAGGTCAAGTGCATGAAGTGTCTACATGATTAATGCAAAGATGTTCGAGTCAAAGAATGACTCGAATATAGATAGTCACTACAGTTAAGTAGTTGTAGAATTCACATACCAATGTGAAATCTAAGTACACTATCCTTCGATTCTACTTGTTTTCAAGTTTCTAATAGGTTATAACTTAGCTTCTAGTTACAAAGTCTAGTATGTGTCGTGCCTATATGTGCAACTAAATTTATTCAAATCCAGACCCGGCCAAAAGCATGGGCGAAGTGGGCCACAACCCAGGGCATCAAGATAATAGTTGCATCATATTTGCTGAGTTACGTATACATATAGTTCTTTTATTTGGGCCTAAATGTGAGCTGGTCCAACATTTTTAGCTGATATGGGGCAAGTCGCACGGCGGGAAGCGGACATGGCTAAAAAATTGAACGCGCAATATAACTGAACCAATCACAAATCAAGACAGAGTACGAGGAGTTGATGTCGTCGATTTCCAGGCAAAACCAAATCACGAATCAACAGTAAAAAAAATCAAATTTGATACGAACAGCAAAACGCAACGACGATTGTTGATTGACGATTGAATCGCCCATCTGCCCATAGTTATGTTCGTTGGAGAAAATAGAATACGGAAAACCTGAAAAATGCATACGGAAACAACAAAACACAACCACCCTTGTTTTTCTGGTAATTTCCGATTTCTGATTTTGTTTATTCAACTGGTCTTTTCAGTTTGCATGTCATTTCGGATTTCTATTTAGTGTTTGATTGTTTTCTAAATTCCTGATTGTTTTTAGTTGTGAATCATAGTCTGTAGATAGTGTTCTCTGATTTTCGATTATGAAATCCTCGATTCTATATATTGAGAATTGTAGATAGTGTTTCCAGTTTCCTAACTTTTGAGAATTTTACGTAGTGTTTCATGATTCTTTTGAATTGTATATATGTATATAGTGTTTTCTGATTTTGGTGATTTTTGGTTTCAGGTTTTTAGTTTTTTTCATCCTTCTTTGTTATGGGAGTTGGGACGATTAGAATTTAGTAACTTGAAAGCAGTAACGGGAGCTTAATTAAGGGTTTGACTTTTTTGCTTGAGTACTATTTGTTAAATTCGATTACAATTTACTATTTAGAAGCTGAATATGCTTCTCGATGACTCTCTCTCTCTCTCTCAAACACTCGTTTTGTCATTTTCCTGTAGGAACTGGAAATTGCCAGATTGGAATTTGGTACTGGGAGCACTGAACTAGAGAATGACTTTTCAGTTCTTCATCCTTTTCACTATCTTGTTCCTGTCTCTCAGCTTGGTTGCTCAGCCTCTCAAAGATTCTCATGCTCTTGCGGTTACTAAGGCCATACGGAATGGTCACGCGTTGTTTGGGATGCCACATAAATATTTCACCATTCCACACCCAACCCACCAGAGTATGGAAATGGTGTTCACCGGTGGGTTGGTGGTGAAGGGGGCAAAAAGAAAGAAAGAGAAAGAGGGAAATTGTGAGGGGCCAGATTCACCACCAATAAGATGCAGCGTCTTCCTCCGTCCTCCCACTCACGCCACACCCAACCCACCGACCCTGGGGGCGGTGTTCACGCGTCTCCTGGGGTGCCACCTAGGATTTTCACTCGTGAAATTGGCTCCACTCCGGATAGCCTAATTGCTAACTTGCTATTTGTTTAATAAAATCAGTTTGTTTTCATTTATTGCTCTAGTGATAATTACTGATTAGGGCCTGTGTAAATCATGTTAATTAGGCTTAGTGCCAATATTTAAGTATCCATTAAAATAACTGAATTTTGCTATATAAATTAGAAATAGGATTGCAGATTACTTTGCTTATATGTAATTGCTAATTGAAATAGGATTGCAGATTACTTTGCTTATATGTAATTGTTAATTGAAACCGTTGAATCTTCTTTATTCCAGTGTTGTTTGAAATTCAAAAGCACTTGGATTTGATTGCAAGGCTTCTGCGAGTTTTTTTGCTTATTTGGTGTAACCTGTTTTTTAATCCTTTCAAACTAGGATACCAATGAAACCAATCAATTTAAATAATTACTTGTTCCGATTTTTGTTTTATTTAATCAAACCAAGTTAACAAAGAAACCAATTAATGCAAATAATTAGCATTTTGCCAAGAAATCCTTCAAGTAAATAATGAGCATTTTAAAAAGGAAACCAATTTGTGCAAAAAAAACTTTTGGTTATTCTATGATAGGATTTATAGGATTATGGTGAACTTTTACTTTCAGCTTATTTGTAATTAAAGAATTTTGTTTTCAATGTTTGCATCATCTATCTAAAGGTTTTATTTTTCTCTGTCTAATTATTGTTTATTAAGATATTTATTTATTGATGAGATTAAACATGTTATATCCTTTGTTTTAGGTGAATTTTAAAAGTTTATTATGTATGGATACACTTTGTATAAAAACATGTTGCATTTTTGTTATATATATTTATAATCTAGAAAAATCCATTAAAATATGGGGTCATTATTAACATTTTTTGCCCTGGGCATAAAAAAGCTTTGGACCGGCCCTGTTCAAATCTAGAACTGTCTCAAATTTTGACGGTTGTCACAACGGGTCGCCTTGTCTGATGGCTTTGGTAATCGGGGATTATTTTGTAACCGACCCATTGATAAGAACCGAGGCTCTAGAGGAGGTGAGGCAACCCCTAATCCAATATATTAATTTCTCCCCAAAACCAATTTGAGACATAATCGAAAACAAGTAATTTCAATAGAGTCAAAAGTTTTATAGTATGATATTATACTGCTGATTATGTTCTTGTGCATGCTTTTTATATACTTAACAAACAAATATATTCTTTTCACATTATTTACATATTATTATTTATAATCTAACCAAATCTATTTTACAAGGCTTTGTTCTCTAATATATTATTTTAATATGTGTTTCATGTAACATGGCTCATGAACACTTACACTTTAGGGACATAACACAACGTTATTGATTTGGGGTTCTATTTAGTATTCATGTGTGGCCTTGGATTCAGCTGTTTATGATTTTCTGATCCACTTACATAATTGAGTTGCGGTTTCTTGAAACATTTTTAGAACTTTAAAATGTTTTTTTTTTTTTGAATTTTTCATTGTTGTCTATTAAAAATCATTTCTTTTATAAAGCATAATCTTGTTTTAAAACCGGATGTGTTTATTAGGGGTGGTAAATCTCGACCCAACCCAAAACCCCACACGAATTAAAAGGGTTTGGGTTGAGATTTCTGACCCGCTAACCTGTCCTTTCCATGGGTCAGGTTCGGATTATGTATTTGGGTTCACGGGTCAACCCGCCAAATATACATGATTTTTAAAAAATATTTAATATTTATAAATTAATTGGTATTTGCTTGGAGTGTGTCCTAGAAAGCTAGAATCGAGAATCCCGAATCAGTAACACCCTTCGTAGTTTGCACTTCACCCTTCCTTCATCTCGTCCTCATCGGCTCACCCCTTCGTCCTGTCGGGTACTCTACACCGACGCCAGAAAACATGAGCTCCACCGTCACCATCTGATGTTTTAGTAATTTGTCACGTTGTCACCAGCATCGTTCCATGTTTAGTGTATATGCTTAAATGCTATTTAGTAATTAATTTTAAATACATGTATAATCCATATATATTTAATATGAAAAGTTAACCCGAAACTAACCCGCTGACCCTCTAACCTGAAACTGGCCCACCGACCTGAAATTGACATGTGAACCCGCAAACTTGTATAATTAAACGTATTATGTGGATCGGGTTAGAGTTGATGTTTCCAACCCGCGAACCCGTGACCTGCCAACTTGACTACATATATAGGTCGGGTTGGGTTGATGTACCCTCGCCTGCCAACCCCACCCAATTGCCACCCTTACTGTTTCCGGCTTTAGGGGATCGTTAAAAAACTTTTAAAAAATTATAACGACTTTAATAAATCTTGAAAGTTACAAAGTGACATTTAATCAATGTTTTAAAAACCGGTTGAACTAGTCGATCGAACCGGTTGGACCGGGAACCGAGAGAATGAGCGGTTCAACTATCACCGGTTTTACGTCGATTTTTGAACCAAATTGAACCGGCCGGTTTTTAGAAAAATCTGATTGAACCGATCAAAATAAACCGATTGAACCAGTTAAACCAAATAAAAACACAAAGAAAATAACAATTTACATAATAAAATTTTGTGATTTTATCTAGTTTTCTCTAAATAAAAATATATGGTAAATGTCATAAAGTTTTTTTATGTACTGGCATTCATCTAAAACTACATTTTATTTTAGTATTATAGTTTATTTTCTTTTTGACGTATATGGATTGATGTAAAACACTAAAATTTATGATTATGTGTTATTTTAATGTATTTGGATTGATCTACAACTTATTTTTATATGTATTTTTAATATTTGGATTGATCTACAACTTATTTTTATATGTATTTTTAATATTTGAACTTGTAAACGTCAAATTCATGATTTATATATGTATTTATGAATAGGAAAATATGGGAAAAAATTGAAAATTATAGAAACTAGATGACCCGGCGGTCGAACCGTTTAAACCGATCACCATATCAGTTCTACTAAAAACCCGGGTTTTAAAACATTGTATTTAATAGATTTTTAATTTAGTGGGTGTTTCACATAACTTTTTAAAATAGTTTATTAGCTTTGAAAAGCACTTTTTAAAACAGCTTTTTGGATAGGAAAAAATAAAACTTTCAAAAAGCTGAAAAATCTTAGTTTTTTAGTTTTTTAACCATTTTACTCTTAAAAAATAGTTTTTTTATCCAAACACTTTTTAAAACCAACTTTTCCTATAAGCCATAAGTTAATAAGTACTTTTCTTAAGAAGCATTTTTGTGCTAAAAAAACTAACTCAAACATACCCTTAGCCTCCACTTGTATTCTTTGGAGTTCATTCACTTTTAGAAAAATTATTGCCTTTTTTTAACAACTAACAATAACTCTAATCATTCTCTATTTATCATCATTTTTGTGTTTTGGATGCCAAGTATCCTCCAACCAACCTTTAAATTTAAAATTATTTTTGTGTTGACTTCTTTTTAACACTAAATATCAAGGTAAAATATAAAGACCTCTAAGAAAACATCATTTTAAAGGTTGGCTGGAATTGAATAAAAAAGAAAGTTCACTATTTTTGTTACATTATTGGAGAAAATCTAATAAGTGGACTAAAATTGTTAATATTTTCTTTTATATAATTCTATTAACACAACCCTAAATTAGATTCAACTCTGTGACCGTCCGCTCGTCCGTTTTCTGTGCTCGACCTCTTCTGCTCTCCGGCGCCTCACGGCCCTCAGCTATTCTCCGGTGTGGCTCTACTGTTCTCTACTCCGCCTCCTCCATATACAACGCTAAATCGCTAGAATCGGCTGCTTCGTCCGTCAGGCGAGTTTTTTATTCTCTCGCCAGATATACGACCCACTCACTAAATACGCGAAGAGAATCAGGCGGAAACAACGTTTTCTTCCAGCCACTTTTCGTTTTGTACCACCATTAACGAGGTACGTAAAAACACTTCTTGTCCTTGCTCGAAATGAGTTAATATTATATTATATGCATGCTACCTGTTTGATGAAAGTCCCCAATGAACAATTTTTTTTATTTATGGAGCTGTTTCTAGACATGGTTTTGATATGGAAATTGAACTTGGGGTTTCATAACTCTAACTCAGGTAACATCAGTAAGCATTTCGGATTTCATGAGTCACATCTCCAATCTCGAAGTCTCGAATTCATTGTCACGGTTGCTCACATCGTGGCTGTTCTATACTTGCATCGCACAACACGAAATCAATATCGAATTGCCACCAAATCTTTATGTACCTCAAGTCATCCTATTCTTGAATCCACCAGTCTTAAACACCGGTTCAAAAACTGGCAAGAAGAAAGAAAGTATAAGCTAACAGCAAGCACTTTTGCACAAGCTATCGGTTTTTGGCCCAACAGAAGAGTCCAACTCTGGCTAGAAAAGATAGGTGCTGTTGAACCCTTCACAGGAAACCTCTCCACTTGTTGGAAAAACATCAAAGAAAAGGAAGCACTTGAAAGGTACAAAAATATAACCGGGAATACCAATTCCGTTTTCTTTCCTGATTTCCATGTTAGCCGGGATTTGAATTCCGATGGGGACCGGAATCGGAATTGGCTTGCAGCATCTCCTGACGGGGTAATCGACAAGATGGTTTATGGGTTGCCTTGCCGAGGGGTGTTAGAAATAAAATGCCCATTTTATAAAGGTAATATGAGAAAAGGTTTCCCATGGTCACAAGTTCCATACAATTATATTCCACAAGCTCAAGGATTGATGGAGATTTTGGACCGTGATTGGATGGATTTTTATGTGTGGACTCCAAAAGGGAGTAGTTTAATTAGGATAGATAGAGATTTAGAATATTGGAATGTGTTACAGATGGCATTATCGGATTTTTGGTGGGGTCATGTCGAGCCTGCTAGAGAGATTTATAGTAATTATGATTATGATGTGAAAGATCCTTTGATTGAGTTGAAAAGCTTATGCCCAGAGCCTAAGCATGAATTATATAGTTATATTGTTGAAGAAAGTAAACGTGTTGTTGGGAACTCTAGATTGTTGATGCGTGAAATTAATGGAATACGTATAGACTGATGCACTACTACTCTACATGTACCATTTGTAGCAAGTTTATTGAATAATTTATTCTTTTTTTCTTATTTGTTATTATCTATTCCATACATTTGGTTGGTGTTCATCTGAAACTGGATAGAGGCAACTTAACTCACCAGTCACCAAGTTAGCCAGCAGCTCAAGTTGCATGAGGCCAAGCTGCCTAAAATTGTAATTTTCATTGATTAAATTCTGTATAATCCATACATATAGGGTGGAAATATTAATCATGGAAAGTGAACTCACATGATCCATCAAATATCTAGTAGCAACTATTTAGCTGTGAAATTCTTGACAGCCTTATGGAGGAAAAACAAAAACAGAATCTTATGTCCAGTTCATCTCCACATGTAACATGGTCGCCCGATTAGCTAGGGTTAGAAGCATTTTCATACATCATTTACCACATTCCATGTCATGTCATTCAATTTTCACTTTGCGAGTTTTTGTGCATATCTGGTGGAATGGGCTTACTTGTGTACTATTTAAGTTGGCCACTTCAATTAGTCTATGATCTTGAGTTGTTACCATTTCTAGAAATCTTAAATAATTTTAAGAACTGAATCAAGTAAATTAACGAATGATGAAGTGATTTTTAGGAACTTGCAGTGTGTCCAACTAACTTGGGAGTCTCATTGTCTTCTTCAATGTAATTTGTAGTCAAGTTTGAGAGCTTGCTGAAACTTTGTTAACAAATTAAACTTAATCAAGGACTGTATTTCAAGTTTTACCATGTGAATGGAATCAATCGTGTAATTTCAATGGATTTCAATCAAATTCAAGCAAATCAGAAAGCGAATATTATTTAAAACCTAAGTCTACGATGGATACTCAATTTTCATTCCATGTGATAGCAACAATATGAAAGATGCAACAAAACCTCACATATCTTGATCCCTGAAGAACAACTAATGGGCTCTTTTAATAGAATGATAGAACGATAGATGACATTAAAATGAATTGTTATCTACAAATACAACGAATGGTATAACTAATGAATACGTATGTAAAAAAATCAGACCTCACAAATGCAACCAGAAAAGCCGTAAAGAGAAATTAAAAAGAAAACAACAATGTCGATCATCAGAACTCAGAGAAGGCCGAACAAGACGAAGAATCCGAGTAAAATAAGCCAAACGATATGAACCAAGAGAAGCGCCTGACCTGACACCGGCCCACTGCCTTCATTTTCATAGTCACAAAAACCTAGCTTCGCCACCTGTACACCGGCACAAATTGCCTCGGGACATCCGCACCAGTACGTAACGTTATTGACGCCGCAAACCGGAGCGGGTCTAAAGCACTTGACAGGACATGATTCGGAGTTTACGGAACGAGGGCAGAGAGAGGTGGATCCGGCGTCATCTGACGGCAATAGGAGGAAATCCGATTTGGATTGGACACAGATAGGTGAGGCGGTTAAGGCGATTGCGGTGGTGATGATGATGAGGAGGATCGGCGATGATGATTTTATCGACATGGTGGCGATCGGCGTGCTTCCAACACAGAAGCTCGCCTCGCCTTCGTTAAGAATTGATAACAAAAACTGGACTAAATTTAGAGAATATGGAAGCTTAGAGGTAAAGAATTTTAGGGTTTGGGTGAGGAATTCGATTTGGGAGAAAAGGTGTAACCAAACTTCAGACTTGTTCAACGGATATTAAACCTTTGCCTATTCTTTTCTTCTCTTTTCCATAACCTTTTACTAAAAAATATTAAAAAGAAAAAATAAAAAATAAGTTTTCAGTCTTTTACTAAGAAGGTTGTTCAACAATTTTTTCCAACTCCCATTAAAAATGATAACCCAACCGGTGAACATATTGATGCAAACCAAGTTGTTAAAATAGCCTATTAAACTTGAAATCGAACGTCATAAGTTGTAAGAAGTCTTCTAGAGCATCACAATTTTATCAATTCATCTCGAGTTATACATATTACACCCATAATAATCGTTTTACGATCTTATGTCTTACTTGCACATGATCAAAATGATCTTATACACAAGTGTTGCAGGGTTGGTGGAAGTTTCATGGATGAGTTATGTAGGGTCAGCCGGTTAGTCGAGGAATATCTAGCATTTCTCTAGGAAGTGAGAATAGAGTGTATACATATTTTAGTGTGTGTTGTTAGGGTTGTTGTGATGATCTTCTGAGACAAATACGGGTAGGTGTGGAAGGTAGTATGAGTCCGTACTACTGGAAGCACACGACCCGTACGTGTAACAGGGAAGTCACAACCCCTAGGGTCTTGATGTGGATTGGTTCCTATGGTGTGATATGCGTATCATCTTATATCTCTCTGGTTTATTTTCAGTATGGTGTTCATGAGGGGATCCGGATCAAGAGCGAGTGGCCAGGATAGACCAGGGTTGACCGAGGATCAGGTCAAGGAGATGATTCATGTTGAGGTTGTTTCTATTGTCTGGGGGAAAATACCGGAGTTGTTTGGGTCTATCAAGACTGCTATTATGAAGTTCTTTGATGAACAGTACGCTGCACTTTCTGAGGCTGCTGCTGCTGCAGCCACCGCGGTCGTCGCTACTACAGGGATTGGGGGGGGAGCCTTCCAATACTGGGACTCCGACAATACGAAGCCCCCGGTGTTTGATGGAGTCTAGGATCCGATCATTTCCATGAGGTGGTTGTCCGATGTGGAGGGATGTTTCTTTACGTGTTCCTGCCCAGCTGACCAGAAGGTCAGGTGCACTCTGAACCTTCTTCGGTCTGGAGCGAATGATTGGTGGAGGTTGTTCATATACTCCAGAGTAGAGAGTTGTTGTATCTTGCGAGCAGTTCCCGGAGATGTTCCATTCGAGATACGTCCCTTTAGAAGAGAGAGAGAGAGAGAGAGATTAGCCCAGGAGTATCTGGACCTAAGGCAGGGGACGGAGTCGGTGACTAAGATCACCAAGATCTTCATTGAGAGAGTGTTGTTCCACCCTGAGTTTGCTGCTTTTGAGCAAGCTTAGATGACCCGATACTTGAGCATGCTCAAGACAGATATCCGCTAGTTTGTGTCCACTTAGCGATATGGTTCACTCATCGAGTTACAGGAGGCCGCAAGGCGGCATGAGATTAAGATGGAACTCCAAATAAGGGAGCTGAGGCAGGCCCCTGTGTAGTCGCAGCCTGCGGCAAAACGGTTCAAGGTTGCTGATGTGAGATATGGGAGTCAGAGGGGCCGCACTTGTGGCAAGTGCGGCAGGGTTCATGAGGGTCCTTGTCGGTCTACTTTTGGATGCCATAAATGTGGCAAGGAGGGGCACTTTGCGAGGGATTGTCGCCATCCGGCCCCAGTACCGAGCACCAGGATTTGCTACCATTGTGATCAGGTTGGCCATGTGAAGGTCAACTGTCCATTGCTCGCCGCCAAGCTAGTGCAGGCGCCAGCGCCAACCACTTTGAGGATCACTGATGGGCGCCAGGGGAGGGCGGAGCCCCCAAGGGCTCGGGCTGTGCTTTTCAGCTCACTGTCGAGGAGGCCAGGGTAGCGCCAGATGTCGTGATTGGTATGTTTCTATTTATTGTTCTTTCAATTATTTTATGGTAAGCTTATGTTTATGTTTCTAATAGGTACATTCTTAGTGAAATCTTTGCCTGCTCTTGTGTTATTTGACTCGGGCGCGAGTCGGTCCTTTGTGTCTCGATCTTTTAGTAGGGATTTTGGTACGACCCTTAGCGAGTTGGAGTGTCCGTTGCGGGTTTCTATCGCCAACGGACATGGGGTTTCTACATCCAGAGTGTACCATGGTTGTGTATTGGAGATCTTCGGGGTGACTTATCCGATTGATTTGATCCCCGTCCCCATGGGGGATGTATGCGTGATAGTAGGAATAGATTGGCTGAGCAGGTTTGGTGCTATGATCGATTGTGAGGGTCAGCGAGTGATAGTTCGAACCCCGTGTAACGCACGGAACCTAGAAGATCAATTGTGGTATAAATCTTTTTTTTTAAAAAGACCAACTCGTCGAGTTGATGGTGGGCAACTCGACGTGTTGGAGGCTTTTGGACAAAGCGTTTTTAAGGACCAACACGTCGAGTTGGTGAAGGGAACTCGAAGAGTTGGACGATGTTTGAGAAAACCCTAATTTCTAGGGTTCAAGCCATATAAATATGTCATTATGTCCCATACCCTAGCCTCCTTATCAGCCTCCTTAGCTCAGAATCCCTAAAACCTAAACCTTATCATCTTGGTGTGTGTTCTTGACCTTGTGAAGATCATTTTTTGGAGGATTGGATCATTGGAAAGAAAAAGAGGAAGTTAGTGAAGGAGAGTTAGTGAAGCTTGAGCTTGAAGATCTAAAGCATCATCATCATTTAGCAATCATTTGAGGTATAAAGTCTTGAACTTGGTGATTATTAGCTTAGATCTCTCTTGGTTTAGATTCATGGACCTTTTTGGTCCCATTGGCAAAGTATGATGAATTCTCATGGTTGTGAAGCTCGGAATTGCCATTCTCGGCGTTATTTGGTCCCTTGAGTCATAAAGTGGTCATGCTTTGGATTGAAGTTCTTCCATGTTTGAGAAAGGGCCATTTCCATGGAAGTAGGTTGTTATATCCTGAGTTTAGATCCATTTAGGGCTTGCAAAGCCATCAAGATGTCGACTTTATGGATTTGTATGTTGGAAACACTTCAGATCTATGTTCATGAGCATTATCTTGATGATATGATGATTTTTGGATTAAGTCATAAGCCCTTTTGAATTAGGGTTTGAGCTTAATGCCTTTAGGATGGTTCTTAATGGGTAACGTTGGAAACTTTACCCTTCTAGGCGTATTTTCAGCCTAGTTCTAGAAGATAGAGCTTTGGTTTGAAGATTAGTGGCTTAATGCATTAAAAGGGCTGGCAGACTGATAAACTCGACGAGTTCATAAGGGAACTCGGCGAGTTGGTTTGGGATTGTCCCGATTCTGTTGAAAAAAGAGTAAATCGACGAGTTAAAGGGGAACTCCACGAGTTGATTCGAAATATCACGATTTT